ACCAAATTTTCTTTTTTTTTTTTTTGGCGTTGTACCATTTAACATACAAGCCACGCATAAATGTTAAAATAGAATCTTTTCGACACTACGTAAATTAATCCACAACCTTAGTTTCATTCAAACAAAGCAAACATCTCACATTTGCTACATCGGCTCTTTGACTTGTTGTACATAGAAACATTGACAGCGGGGACAACAAACTATCCAGCTGGTTGAGGCTAGTCTGTCAGTGTTCAACTGTGTTTATCGTATTTCTTCATGTGCAGTTTGTTTGGAAGAATATGGCTGTGTATAAATAATATTCCCTTGGGGTCACCTGTTTTTCATTTTATCAAAGTGCTACCGGCTTTAAAAAATCGGTTGACACCTTGACGTTGGGTCAATAGCGACTTAAGTCTGGAAGCTTGTAACCCTCCTCGTGCACGAAAGCCCATATGGCGACTCTTTCAAACCGTACAGTCTTGTAGAGATTCAAACAATCTTTACGTTTTGCAGGTTAAGCCCAGTTGAAAAGGAGTAAGGCGGAGACAACACAAGTTCTAGTTATTCAGTGATTGGAGGTTTGGTTGGATCAAATAAAAAGGAGAGAGATTAACGAAAGACAAATGTAAACCCAATTCAAAGGATTGCAATGACACTGCGGAACAACAAGCCTTTTGTACGGTGAAAACCAAATTAGAACCCACATGCTGAAAATAATGATAAAACAAAGTACGCGGAAACTGGAACAAACTTAACTGATGGCGTCCTTTCAGGTTGACAACGTAAACACTTCAAGGAATGCAAGTCAGCGGATGAACAGTTCCAACGACACGGACTCGACAAACACGAAACTGTCGATGGAACTCTTAACAGTGATTCAAATCACTTGCTATTCTGTTATTATCGTCATTGGTACCATTGGAAACTTGATGCTGATCATTAACTTGGCTCTCAAGCGCAGCCGCAAAACTAGCCAGTATTTTATTTTAAATCTCGCAGCGGTCGATCTGTTGACTTGCACGCTAAGTATACCGTTTGACATCACTCTACTCGTGCTAGGCGGTTGGCCGTTTGGTCGGGTGATGTGCAGGCTCGTTTATCCTTTACAAACAGTTTTTATGGCCGTTTCTGTGTCAACATTGCTGTGCATGGCGTTGGAGCGCCACCGTGCTATACTCTACCCGCTCAAGCCCAAGATGACCGGCACAGTTATAAAACTGGTAATATTTCTCGTTTGGGCAATAAGTGGTGGATTAGTATCGCCGTATGCTGTTGCGCTTAAGATGAAAGACGGCGAGTGCGTGGAGAATTGGCCTGGTAACGATCCAAGGTACCCGGAAGCCTTCACTCTATGCGTGTTCCTGATTCTCTATTTGAGCCCACTCTGCGTCATCACAGCGGCCTACGCTCGTGTGGGGGTAAGACTTCGTGCCAACAGTCTCAAGGCGGAGCTACTTGTTGGAACTAGTAGAGATAAGAACCGATTGTCTAAGTCCCGTACGCGTCGAAATATTCGAATTGTTAAGTTTTTTGTCTTGGCCGTGGTCGCTTTTGCCGTGTGTTTATTGCCTTTCCAGGTCATGTGGATGTGGAGTGACTTCGGAAATGGTCAGAAATGGAAACATTTCAACACATTACTCACTTTCGCTAACGTAATGGTTTATGCCAATAGCGCTGTCAACCCTTACATATTCGGCGCTCTTGGTCGCAGATACAGTTCTTGCAGGTGCCTTCACCGGCCACGAAAGCAGACACCACGTCATTTCAAACGTGGCACTTTTCCGTTTTGTGGCTTCTGCACGAAGACGAAGAAGAACTCTTCAGTAAACCGAAATTTGGTTTCTCCTGCAGGCAGCACATCAAACCGAAGTACAAGTCCAATAGAGAAAGGAAACCGCCATAGAGAAAAACAAGTTAACATTCAGTTAGAATCAATGGTTTAAAGTCTGAGGGACAAAACGAAATTACTTTCCACGTTCACAAGAGGTTGATCTGCATGAAGTAGATAGAGACACTGATGGCGGTAAGAAAACTCGAGCCATCGGCGAGTTTTTCCTCAGTTTTAAACTGATCTCAGTTAACTAGCGTGTCTTGTGACCCAGATAGTACAATACAAGACTCTCTTCTTTGTCAGTCTTATGCTAGGACTCGATTTTATGAGGCGCAAACAATTATACATTCCATGTTTTATCTCAGGGTGCGTTCCTTTGGGGTGATCTGGGTCAGGATCAGTGATCCGAGATCACTCAGATCATGGTACATCAAAGGAACCGATGAATCAGTGACCAGAGAGGATTCTTCGATTCCTTTGATGCCCCATGATCTGAGTGATCTGATCCAGATCACCCCAAAGGCACGCACCCATTGATAAGATGATGTGATACTCTGATAAACAAAATTTTCACCCAATCAGAGAACGCACACAGTAGATATATTTACCAATCAAACGAAAGACCAGAGATTCGTACTAAACAGTCTAAACTCTTAATTTATTAATTACAAATTAATGTTGTCACTAGAAAGGCGTAAACTGATTAATAGACCTCTTTGACTGAGAAAAAAAACGTTTTTTTTTATGCAGAACGTTTGTAATAAGATTCATAACACGTTGACAAGTTATCTAACTCACGACCACCTTTCCCAACTTATACCCGCTGCACTGTGGAGGCGCGATGGCCTTATGGTTAGTGTACTCGCCTCCCGATCGAGCGATCCGGATTCGAGCCTTGGTCAGGGACATCGCGTTGTGTTCTTAGGCAAGACACTTTATTCCCACAGTGGCTCTCTCAACCCAGGGGTATAAATGGGCACCGGCTAATTTAATGCTGGGGGTAACCCTGCAATGGATCCGATCCAGGGGGAAGTAGAAATACTCCTAGTCGCTTTATGCTTCAGAAACCGGAGATAAGCGCCGACCTTTACATTTTTACCCGCTGTTCTATCTTTTGTCAAATAGGTAATGGTATGCAGTGAATGCAAGCTATACGAATGATGTCTGAAAATTCTTTGAATATACTGGATTTTCAAATATCGCCAGATAACTTTGCCTGTTCTCTGCCAATCACAATGACGTAATTGTCTCAGTCATATGATAAATATAGACTACGAGTAGTCCCTCTGTCCGCGAGAAAAAATGGCCGCGCGAAATCCGGGAAGCGAGGAGGATTTCGCGCGGCCATTTTTTCCCGCGGGTTTCTTTCGCGTCACGCTCGACGGACTAAGCGACAGAGGGACTACTCGTGGTCTAGATAAATGAAACAACTGAGTTACTTTTTTTAATGTTAGTTACAGATGCGCCAGTTGTTTTTCTGATTATATATATTAGAATTTACCTTAAAATACAGTGGAACCCCGCCTTACGTTCAACTCGTTATTACGGCCACTTTTTTTTGTCCCGGCGAATCGCCCATACATTTTCTTATCAAAAAGAAACCATTAACGCAGCCACCCCGTTAATACGGCCAACGGTCACATTTTGAAATCCCAACTTCCTTTATAATTTTGCACCGTTCATGCTGCCTTTCTAACCAGTTATGTTCATCTTTCCATTGTTAATATTGTATGAACTGATTGAAGATTCAATTTTTGTTAAATTATATCTGCATTCCAGATGCTTATCAACAAACAGATGTTTAGAAGTACAATTGCAATATATCTGTTAAGAAATTGTGATAACAGGTTCCTGGGTCGCTCAACGAACTAAAACTAATATATCTACGTTGGATTTCTATATTTTGTGATAGCGAAAGCAAATAGGTAAAACATACTAACTTATCTGATTTTCTCTCCTCACAAAATAACTCAGTTTAGACCAGTCATGAAATTTGACTCTACCCCGTTAATAACGTATTAATGGGGTTCTACTGTAAACTGCTGTGAATTTATTTCATTTTAAAACCGAGAAAGGAGTCAGTTTTTCTGGCCTTAAAGCTATGACCACAAAGAAACACAAAGAAACTTTCCAAGTTTCCTCGGAAATGTCCACCGACGATCGTCTTACACTTAATTTAATCAAATTAATTATATTAAACCAGTTTCCAGGAGAAAATATAAAAACAAAAACAAAAACATATAGATGAACAAATAAGATAATTACAGCTGTAATTAAAAGTTAGGTTGTGCATTTTGAGGAGAGATATCAGGACAGGATTTCTTTAGATAAACAGCCAACGCCGACAAGAACAGGGAACTTTCACTACTCTACATAAACTTTAAATCGAGAATACAAAAAAGTCAAGATCACAGCCCAGCAGCCAGACTAAAATTCTTACCGAAGCAATATCAGAGAAAATGTTTCTTTGACAGTTTATTTTATTATTTCTTGCGGTAACTTGAATTAAAATATAATGTCTAAATTTTTACCGAGGCAAGTGCTTTGGTTCGCCTGTTACAAGCTACATCCATGAAGATAAAATATCATCTAAAATTTAAATATCGCAGGTTGAGGGAAATGGTCGACAAAGACATTGGCAATCATCAAGATAATTATAATATGCTAATTACATGTTCTCCTGTTTTTCTGCCGACATGAAACTCTTTCACTGCGGACTTTGTTCATATAGCAGTTTTCCTATGACTGTCCTTAGACAAAAGCCAGGAAAATCACATCCTTCCAATCCGATAGTTAACTGACAAAAGAAGATTATACAACGAATCAATCAAAACTAGAATCCAAAACATGTCACTGGTACAAGCGCGGGAAAACGCCCGAAAACAAGTCACGATTAGCTTTCGTTTAACATCTGACAGGTTCCATTACTGGTCCCAAATATCAGCCTGTTTCGTGCTCTGATCGTTTAATATACGGTGGAGAGGGAAGGTTTCCAGTTAAAAGTAGTTTCAGAGCCCAGCAATGCAAATTCAAAGCAAACTTGGGAAATTCAATCAAAACAGTTACCATTGCTACTGGTTCATACACTCGCAGACTTAACTCGATGAGCGTTCGCTTTTTTGAGCAATGCGACAGCTTGGTTCTGTCCCCTCAATGCCATTTCTCTGCCGATATGAAGATGCGAGGAGCCAATACGAAGCTCGTAAACACAACCGACTCTACGACCTTCCCCTGAACCTTTCCAACAGCAACCCAGACAGTTTGACAGTGAAAAGTTTCTTAAAGAGCCAAAAATGAAAGGATTCGACGCGCTATTCGCGTACATTAGAATGTTACTGAAGATCAGAACGTCTTGGAAATATTCACTTTTCCAGCCTTTTCCAAAATCGTGCCAAATCCATGCGGCGTGCGTTGGAAGCATGCAAATCAAAAACGCTCCTACTGCAACAATGAACACTTTAGTAATCCTCATCTTCTGCAGAGTACGTTTCTTCGTGTATTGCACTTGAGATCGATGACAGTCCACCACGTGCTCCAGCTTGTCCAGCTCTCTGCGAATTTTTCTCCCTGCGCGAATGTAGGAGGAAGCGATGACCGTGAGAGGGACTACATAGAACGTTGCAAAGTTGGTTAGAGTGAAAACTTTAACGTACCAGTCCTCGGGCCATTTTTCCATGCATTGTTTCCCCTCGAGTCGCAGCACCAGAACGTAAGGGATTATCACCACTGCGGGAACAATCCACGAAACGCCGATGGCTAGCTTGGCGGTTCTTGGAAGAACGCGCGGGCGAAGTGGGGTCATAACAACTCGATGTCGTTCAAGGCTCATAGATAATAGAGTGATGACAGAGACGGCCATTAAAACGGTCTGAAATGGGTAGACCATGTAACAGAGAATTGAACCAAAAGGAAAGCCACCCGACAGGCGCTCTGCTAAGTCGAATGGAATGCTTATGGCGCAAGTGGCAAAATCCGTCACTGCCAAGTTTAAGATGAGATATTCGCCGACTCTGCGCGCTTGTCGACCAAGAAGGGTGACGATGATCATGCTGTTGCCCACCAAGCCTACAATGATGATCGCGAAATAAAGCACGAGCTGGATTATCTCCACAGCTGCGAGCCCATCGGCTTTGTCGCTATCCGTGCTGTTAGCTGACTCCTTGTAAAATTCAGGCATATTAAGGTAGCAGTGATAATCTCAAGCGGTTTCCTACAATGCTTTAGCTTCTTTCTGCAAAGAATAAGATATTGGCGACTTATGTTTGCATTCTTAAGGCAAAAGTTTCTATCGTCTTGGCGACCACGCAAAGCGTATGGTAAAAGTAAGTTTGCGTGTCCGAAATAAATAACATCATCAGATCAAACGTTATCAACAGACCTTATCACCACTGAAACACTGATTTAAAGAAATAAATTTAAAGACTAGTCACATAAGTCCTTATCGAGTGAACGCTGACCGAAAACTCTTTTTTTTTCCTTCAAAGCTGAAACTTGAATCCGTAAAAAACCCTTAAGAGGTAACAAGGTAATGGCTTGGCTTCTTTGATTAAAATACAGTCGAAAGCATTAACTTGATACATTTATACAGAAACCGACACGGTCATGTTTTGCATCTCTCACTGATGCAACGCCTAAGGGAGATATGGGCTAATCTAAATACTCTCTCCAAAAACAAAATATTGTCATCTAATGCTTGAAATTATTCAAAAAAGTCAGATAAAACATAAAATCCGATAACCTACAAAGTCAGGGTTAATGGAACACGTTTCATAGTGCGTGCCCTGTGCCGAAGAAAGAAGCTTCCATGTTTTAAAACGCTCCTAATAAATTTCAATTTCCAGCAGTGATCAAAATCTTATTTCTTATTACAACATCAATAGATTGCCAAGCAGACAGGAGAGGAGAAAATAAAACAAATCATCAGCTGGGAAATATTGACTTGATGTGCCCCTGACGGAGATCTCAAGAGACATCATTAGGGTGCTCCCAGTTTACAGCTAAAAGGGTTTTAAGGACCAAAATCTGAATTATAACTTACACTGAGTCACTTAACTCCTTCCTTCTCGTATACATATTCTGCTTTGTGCAAAGTCACTATTTCGCATTTTAAATTTCTCGTATAACTATTCACTGAGATTCAAGGAGCTGTTTTGCAATATTTATAGTTATCACTTAGTTCTATACAGCTACCTCGCAGTTGAAACTTGAAAACATCGGAAATGGAAGAATTATTTTTAAACAAGACACATCCCCCACTTATGGACCATACGCCCCCACTCTCTACAATTCTTTCTGCACCAGAAAACAGGGGAAAAACCGCCTTCTTAAAATTACTATCGTACTTTCCAAATCTGCATTTGAATTAAATGACAACGACACTTGTAATATGAATAATTATTTCAACAGTATGGTATACAGTATCTAGAGATTCGCGTACAGAAACTGTGACGGTCTCCAAAGGTTTTGGGTGAAAAAAAAAATTGTGAATATCGACTTCAAAACGGAGAAGGAAATAAAGTAGACAATCCCTAAATAGCTTAAAATCGGTAGTGAATGGTTATCATGAAATTCAGGAACACAAGAAACGTCTTTCGCCATTTCTTGGCTCAACTTCGGTTGCGGCCTAAAGAAAATAAACTTCTCCGATCCGAAGAACTGAAGATTCTGATATCAAAACCAAGCTTGCGCAAGCTTTTGACGTTCTTTCGTTCGTTCGGCTTTCTTCTACTGTAAAACAACGAGTCGCAACATCTTTATCAGCTAAGATATCTCAAGATTTCGCATCGTTGTGGGTTAGTAGCTTTTTTTTTTTTTTTAGTGACAGCATTGACATTTTACGGTCAATTCACTTCCGCTACATAATACACTATAGCGGAAGTGTCAACGATAAAACCAACTGCACTTGCCATCATTGAAGCTTGTGTCAGCAAATAATTAGCAAAGACCGAGAAACTAAATTGCTCTTCAAATAAGCCAGCTAGTAAGCATAATTTCTGAACAGAAAAGAAAATGAAGACGAAATTTGAAATTTTGATCACAGATTCACTACACTTACATGTCACACCTATATGACCTGTCTCTTTATGATTTCCTGCGTAGCCTTGAGCCGAGCGATCGATCGGTACGTGGCTTCAGGATGTTGCTTCATGATGTTGTTGACAATATGGGAAAGATCTGCTAAGTATATGTGTGACAATACTCTTGTAATTTCGCTCTTTCAAGTAGCATTGTCATAGGCGCAAGTTGCAGCTGTCTGCAAAAAATATAAATATTCCCTTATTTGTTCCACTGTATATTTATGTTTATGTCGCCGCGGCACTGTACCGTTTGTGGCAGTTTTAAACAATTGTGCAAGTTCGTTTTAAACTGGAAATGATTAAACGACTATACCTAATAAATTATTAAAATCAACGAAAATGAAGGATAAAACACAATCGATAACGTAGAGTGGCGTATTAAGTGAATGTCTAGAATATTATCGTCGTGCTGTTCCATGTGAATTAGTCCTCGAACACAGAAGGAGATGCCATGTCTGTTGTCTCCCACATCACACTTAAAAGGTTTTTTCAGGGAATAAAAATTTTTTATGACAGCCTTTTAGTGCGCTCAACTGAGATGTACAAAGTGAGGAAACTGTGACCTTGGCAACATGCAAGCGTGGTTTAAAATGACTGAACACCGTACTGTCTTCAAATTCTTGCCAATCCCCTCGCCCACTCCTCCCTAACTCGAGAAAAAACAACAACAAACACAACCACAGTCCAAACAGTTTGGGGTTAAGGTGAGACGATTTTCTTCGCTACTTTTAAAAAACCTACATTTTTCTTGTTTACCATTTTACTGTATTGTTTTTTTTTTATTCGTCTCTTGATTACGCAATCTACGCACCAAGGTTACCGCGGTTTAGTTTCCTAGTGAGCGGGTAATGGCGTTTATCACGGTTGGCCTATGATCTATATAAAAAAGTTAACAGTTTCCAAAGAAACTATCGGGCTGCGTCGGCGGGCATTTGAAATTCTTAGCTTTTTATCAGCGTGACCTTGATAAAGCTGATAAATCGACTGCCGTAGCGAAGTAAGCAAAGCGGACGATTCGGGGCTTCATCTAGGCTCGATTACCAGCCGCTGTTCGAGAAAGGAGCTCGCGTTCCTATCCCGAACTCGGAAGGAACCAAGACCGGACTAGAACGAGCGGTGGAAATCCGAGTCTAGGGTTGATCTATATACCCTGGAGGGGAACACAGTTACTGTCCGTCAAAAGATCACAGGGAGGTACCAACTACATAATATCGGAAGATCGTTAATTTATTGTGAATTTTATGTCTCAACTTGGTTTTGACACTTAACTCGCCATATATAAACAATCAAAATGATCTAGCAACTTTTGACTGATAAGGTAGCTAGGTACCGTTTTCCACCCAGAAGAGAATCCATTCTCGCCGCATTTTAACCAGATGTTTCAGTTGTTAACGTAAACACTACAAGCATATCAAATACAATCTAGCATCTTTGATAACGTAGCTAGTTTTTTCACTCTAAAGAAGCCTAATTCTCGCCGTATTTAAACTAGCTGCTTGTTAACGAAAACACTGCAAACATACCAAATACAATCTAGCAACTTTTGATACAGTAGCTAGTTTTTTCACCCTGAAGAGATTCAATTCTCGCCGCATTTAAACCAGCTGCTTGTTAAGGTAAACGCGTGTAATCAAAGAAGAATTCAAATATCATGCTTTCTCCATTCCCAAACAACCTATTTTCTTCCTCAATTAAACAAACACATAAATAAATAAGCAAATAAATAATAAATAAATACCTTTGTTTCCTTGGTCAGCCCGTAAAGAGAAAGCCCAAACCCTTCTTAATATAGTAAGGCTAAAGACGGCGGCAAACGTGTTCTGTTTACGAACCTACAATTATAACGTGGTCCAATCATGAGCAACATGTAAATTTCGGTATTGTTTAGGTCGTTGCTCGTAGTGAAAATTCGTAAAATTAAAAAAAACTGAGAATAAAGAGAGATATACATAGCTTTTTCATAAAGCAATTCAGTGGCACAAGACTGAATCTTTAGATACATAAAATATGACTTTGAAGTTGCACGAACTCTAAACGTTTATGGTAGACCCAAGAGAAGGTAGACCTAACACTGAGAGAACATTTCCTGTACAGAGCCCGCTGTAAAAAGGCAAATTGGCCTTTGACTAAATCTGTTCGACAGTTCTGTTATCGGTTCATACGAAAGTACAAAATCGCGCCACCAACGCGCAAAACGTTCACGAAATCGTCAAATGAATTTCTCATGCCAAAGGTAACTGAAAGTGAAGAACACGAAAGATAAACACTGCGAGTGGGAAAAGTTGAAAAAAATGCCATGTGGTCTATGATGGAGATAATGAACAAGGCTTCCGTTCAAGTACCACAGTCTAACTTTTACCTTACGCTGAAAATTTTGACCTTAAGGCAAACGAAAGTATCACTGTTTCAACTACCTACCAATTGTATCGTTTGGCAGGCGAATCCGTCAGGATGATTCAACCGAGCGAGAGATGCGCAGTCCACAAAAAAGCGATGTAAAAACCGACACTGTAGAAAACATTACACCTGCCCTGAGTAACCATTTCTGGATCAGGCAATATACTCCCTTTTAACTGGCAATCGATAGTGATTGCGATTATTAACTTATTGTAAGTAATGAGTGTCATGGCAACAGTGTAACTCGATTGTGTAGTGTCGAATTTATCCTCATAAACTTGAACGCGATTTTTATTCGCAAGCCGTGACCATGTCAAGTTATTCCACGAATTTCCAACTTTAACTAACACCAAAAAGAAAACAAAATGCTTGCTGAGTATTTTTGCGTGATTTTAGCTATTGCGTCCAAATCGTCTTTCAAGTGAAAAGGTGGAAATCCTCAAGAGAAAAGGTGAAAACCTATTAGCATGTCTATTTTCGTAAATTCTGAAATCATTGTTATTCAGATTCGTGTTTGATTCCTCTTTCTGAAGGCATCCTGAATGCAAAATACACACTGAATATAATGATTTATAATTGTTTCGTTTCAAATGGCGATCTCCTAGCACAAAGCCGAAATGGAGATCGATCAATATTGCGCCATATTTCCACAATATGAACACGATTCTTTGCAAATATTACATCTCAGAAGATATGATTTAATTTCTTCTATATTTACTTATTGCAAAATCATAAACCTCTGACAGATCGTCTTGGCAATGGATCATTTCTCAGTCTCTTAGGATAAATGATTCATTTTAAGAAAGTACTTAAGATCCGTCCGCAGGGTACAACACTTTACAAGCACGGCCTGTTCTTATCAGCACGACCGACGATGAATTATCACACTTTTAGCGGACCAACAAAAGAAAACATATAGAAATCACACAGTATGAAGCATGTTTAAATTCGTTTTGAGTTCTTGATGTCTCAGGCTCCGTTTAAACGATTTGCATATTTTATAACAAACATCAATATTCAAATCTACACTAGATATTCCAATATTGTACTGCCATACAGAAATATTCATCATAAAATAAGCAAGCCTATCCTTTATTATCAGGATTTTATATCGGGATTATAATAAGTCCTTAAATAGCGTTTTTATAATTTTAAACAGAAAACAAAATGTATTCACACAGGGTATACCAGCCTCAACAAGGATGGCCAAACAACCCAGAACCCTTTTACAAGAGAATATATGAAAGTTGATATATTTGAACTGCGGAGAATGATATGAAGATATGGTTGTTCATCGCAGTTATGCACACAACTTATTAAGCAGTTGTGAAATGGAAGCCTCAAAAGAACCCTTCTATCGACAGTTTGGATTTCTTTCTATGACTGGGACTTCCCGATACACTGTGTTAGAGAAATAAACTGGCCAGCAAACAGTTGGATGCATCTTCCGAGCACCAATAGGGAAAATATTATTAAGTTGTTCAGAATTGTCGTCTACTCGTTTGATCCCTCATCAAAGAATTCTCCGTATTAGGAAACCAAAACAAACACAATACTTAATTCAATAGGGGTACATTTTCACTAGCTGGAAATGAAAAGATTATTTAGCGCAAATAATGTACCCAGCTCGCAGGGAAACAAAACTGTTATCGGCAATTTCCACTCCTTATAACAACGAATGTAGTATCTTTGATAAACTTCAAAGGGAGAAACGCCAAGCCTTAGAGCCTTGCCTTACCGATAGACTTTCTGTTCCGTCTGCCTCGGTTCGTGTGATTGTTGCTGGACTTAGCTCATGGATATTCTTTAACTCAGCGTGCAATGCCGAATGCTTATTTTCCAAGCACGTCACTGCCCTGCTGTAATTCCGGACTAATCAACGCAGCATAAATTCACAACTGAGCCAGACTACTCCCGGTAGGTTCACAATGCCAGCTAAACAAACCATAAAGAGATTGATTAAAATATTTGGAAAAACCATTTTTTCCAAAGACAGCTGGTTGACCAATAGGGTTGATTTGCAGTCTTGGTTTTTATTAAATTAGGAATGAAAATTGTCGCCTTCTGAACAGACCGACCATTTAAGGGATAACAAATTAAAGCACGTTCCGGGAATGAAATGAATATACGCAATTAACAGCAATTAACTTGTAGACACGAGAACGGATTCCCATTTCACTTCGATTCCCTCAAGAAACTGAGATCACGAAAACAAAAAGCTTAAGAGATTTAAGGCAAAGGGGTTTCTCTTACTCATACCCGTCAAGAAATAACCTCACCAAGATGCAGAAAAGTTCGGTTTTAAACGCCAAAGAAGGAAATAGTTCACGTGAAACGGTGGTTTATAATGATATGAAACATTGTTGGCTACGTCACTACCTATAATAATCACTTAAGAGTTGTGTTGCACATAGAAATAAATTTTACAAAAACGACATAAATAGGTCAAAGCTTGGCTCAAACGGAATTCAATTCTCTTCTAATTATTCTCTGAATAATGAATGACATGGTTTTAAAGCATCGACAGGTGGTTTGCCTTGTCTTGATCACAACATCAACATATGTATACGAAAATTGACAAATAGTGTGAATCCAAGTTATTTCGGTTGTTGCGATAAAAAAGCGTTGTTTTCTACCAGATTTCCAACACGAATTGATAAAAGTGTTATATTTTTTAGGAAAAGAGAAAACGCAAGAAAACACCAGGCCAAAATTCATACTCATTGTTTGATTTGTGGGGTTATTAGTCACCTTGATAAGTAAATGAAGTCTTAGAATGAGAGGAAAAGCCGTATGTAAATAGCAATTTCTATTTTAATTTTTCGTTATCAAATATTTTGTTACTCGGAAAAATTAGCTTGTCAAGCTACTCTGAAATTCGAGATTAAATAAAGTTTATGTATGTATGTAGGTAGGTAGGTAGGTAGGTAGGTAGGTAGGTATGTAGGTATGTAGGTAGGTATGTAGGTAGGTATGTAGGTAGGTATGTAGGTATGTAGGTATGTAGGTATGTAGGTATGTAGGTATGTAGGTATGTAGGTATGTAGGTATGTAGGTATGTA